CAGAGAAGATGGACATTTACAGCAGTTGAGTAATTTAAAAAAGACTAGTATGAAACCTTTTAAACTCCTGACTTATGAAAAGCTCAGTTTCATCCCACATAGTTGAACACAAGCAATTTGGCTTTCAACTCAGCTGGCGGTTGACTCAGGTGTCCCATAACTTCAAAGTGTCATTTAGCGGCTTCATAAATCACTCTTAATGAAGGCAATATCTCATCATTGCATATTTTTGTCAACATTTAGTAATCAAACCTTGGGCCAAACACAAAACTACTTTGTTTTAAGGTCTTTAAGGTGTGGCTGGTTAGCTTGTCAGATGGATGTGGTGCCTCTGGTATTGAGACTATTATTCATTGGTGACAGACAAGGTTAATCAGACATTCCCTCTATTGTTCAAATAGATGAAAGTATAACTTACTGTAATTGAGTGACTCAAGTCAACCATCAAGTCTCTTAAATGTTCAGGTGCACACACTGACAGCTCTATAACAAGGGAGCATCTCAAAATATCACAAAGCACTTATTGTAAACATATATCACACTAGAAATGATATAACTTAAGGAAAATGTTTATTTTTTCATCCTATATTAACAGGTCCTAACTTTCTTTCGTCTAAATAAGTTTGTTGTTGATTGATATGATGTCGAGTGAATGAAGCATAATACACAGCACAAATACAAATGGGAGTTTTGAAAGTCAGAAATATCAGCACCTGGTCAGGCAAAAGTTGGTTGGTCTTTGGTTATAAAGAATTTTATCAAACCTCTGTGATGTTCCCCTTGTAATCTTACTAGGTGCACCTATAAACCATAACAAATGTTGATAAATTTGATTCTTGCAAGGTAAAAGGTGGGAGATGTGGGAGTTTAAATGGTTTTATTGAGAATTCTTATCATTATCCTTCACATGAAATATATTCCAAATTAGCATTTTCCTAAAAGGCCTGTCTCTTTACTGCAGGGAAGCACAACTAGTTTTTCTAGGTTAAATGCTGTTGAGAGATGAGCTCTGAACGCGGAGATCAAAGCGTCTTTGTCTTGGCAAGCGCTTGAGGACTTCACCTTGACAGTTTCACTCTGTGTCAATCAAATTCAGGCAGGGCACATTGTCAAGCAAATGCATGTCAGTTTAAATAGGCCATACCAAAACAAAACGTCCCTCCAGTACGGAAAACTCTGAAAAAGGAAAAGCTGAACAGGAACCATCACAGAGTAAATGGTCAATAAACAAGCATTTTTCCATCTGCTGATCATGTCCACACACTGAGACGTACAGTCCAGCGGTGCTCAAAACAGAATCTTTGAATTGGATTTTCTTTAAAATCTCTAAAACAAATATTTTGCCATGTTTTTAATCAGTAATGTGAGTGAATGTTTTATCGCATGAGTAAAATATAGCTAAAGTGGGCTCAACACAAGTAAAACTAAGCTCCCAGGAATCGTCTCAGTTCTGAACTTGTGTAAAGCTAAAAACTGAAGCCCTTTAATAATGGATTGAGCTGTCAACTCTGATGAACCTACTGGTTTGGCCAAAGGCTCCCCTGGTACTTTCCTCACACCATATTAGAATCAGCACTGCTCAGTCAAACAATATAAAGCCTTCTCTGCCCCATGTACTGAGGCTTGATAAATCAGTATTGAACTGACCTACAGTACAGAGAAAACCCGCATTTCACAATAAATGTGTCCAACTTTCAATATAGCTCATATTAGTTAAATGCAGAAAAATTTAGATTTTTGAAATGTCAGATTTTAAAAGAGTCAGGCTGGTCTGCTACACAGGAAGTGGACTGTTCAGAAACCTCGAGGTAACACCGGACAGTAGACTCAGTTTCCACCAGCACAATCTTGACCTCAAAAAAAAGAGCCACCAAAGACAATCAGTTATCTGCAAGCTTAAAGTACTCTATGTTGCCCCCCATCTCCTACTCTTGTTACATCAGAGCATTATTTAGCCCATCCTGTTATACTGTTCCTGTTGCTTCTTTAACATGCTATCGTTTACTAATCGGGCCCATCTTACACGCAACCAACCAACACTGCCGTCAGGACAATTGGTCATCCCACACCCAACCTAGCAGAACCACACATTAAGGCCATTGCACTGCAATCTCAATAGTAAAAGACATCACACACACACACTCAATCACCATCTTACCCTACTGCCCTCTGGGCGCAGGGAACAGAGCACTGAGGTGCAGTAGTGCCCGCTTTGGGAAAGTCTGACCCTTGTATGTGAGGATCAGCCATAGCCGCCTTTAATAAAAGGCCTCACTGAACTGGCCTGAGTGTGTACTGTTGACTGCCATTGTATGTTGTTGCTGTGTGCTGTTGTTGTCCGATGTGTACAGTGCGTGAAAATGAATTTCCCCTTAGGGATAAGAAAGTCTAAAATCTAAATAACAACACATGTGACAAGGTTTTGCTTCACTGAGCAGTTAGTGGCCTGGGAATGAGAAGGGCCCCATAACCAGCATCCATCGTGACATACCGTGGAAGTGTCAATTTGTACAGTAGACGATGTGCCTTGGCAGCGGGCCTTTTTGAAATGTTTAGATAATTCCACCACACGATATCTTCTGCCATGAGGGATTACTGGGATCAACAAATGCCGAGACCTACACTATAATCTACCCTGCCTGACTATGTGATTCTGGCCTCGTGTAACCTGCCCAGCAGTGTGCGCTCCAGCAGGGTGTGTCACCACCACCATGGTGGCATGACCCAAGATGACAGGGAACCCAGCTGGATGACAGTTGGCAGGCTCCAGGTGCCTCAGCGAGTGGCCACCAACACCAACCACGCAACATCAAACGTGAGCAAAAAAGCAGACAAAACAAAAGCCAGACAAAATGAAAACAAAGACCACTGTTGCCCTTTCTCTGGCACACCACAGTGTTTTCCAGCCTTTTGTTTCCAGCCGCAGACTGAGAACACTGACACTGAAAGAGCATCAGCATTCTCTCACTTGGCAGCTGAAGCTCTCAAACGCAGCAGATTGAGAACATGCACCGCCAGAAGGTGAGGTACCACGTGGCGATTATGGTTTCACAATAAATGAGACAAAGCATTTGAGTCTAAAAGCTCCCTGGTATCCCTGCAGGGAGAAACCGTCTCTACTGAACAGGCATGTTTTCATGACACTGGATGCCGGGCTCACAGCAAACCTCCTCTCCTTTTCTTACATTACAGGGCTCTGTATAACTTAAATGCCCAAACATAAAGAGGAACGTCCGTGTAAGACGGCACTTGATACGGGCGAAGCTCTCAGCCGATAGAAATGGGCCACATGTCGCAAGGATGGGTTACACGCTACACAGTACTGGATCCTAGACAAAAAAAAGGCTGAACCAGCACATGACATACCCATCTGGAACAAAAGCTGGCCTAATTTCACCAAAGATAAGGGACAAGCCCGACTCCGAACAGAGACAGTTTGGGCTGCTCTCCACTTTCCCTCCCAAACCACAAAGGTTTGGGATATCGGCCTATAAAAACTGAGCTAAATGGACAGTTGTCTGAAATAGGTCAGTCAAAAGTCTAATGGGATACGCACAAACTCCTATACACATAAACACGCAAAAACATGGACAAATACATGGATACACACAGGCCATGCAGCCAACAGGCATTATTAGATGAGTTAATGGGTCCTGAGCCATTCAAACAGCAGGCTTTAGTCAAGCATGCTACTCAAGACACGATAATGGTGGGATAGCTAGAGGGGTTGGGAGTTTCTTGAGGCCTGGTGGTACCTACTGCAGTGAAAAGTCACAACATCTCTAAGGCTCAGCTGCTCCTCTGCACTGTCTACCCGTTTACCTCAAAAAGTTCAGTTCAGACACATGCTGCATTTTGTCTTTTAGGCTTTTGGGCGAGGCTTGTATCTGTTGTTGCAAGGATTTCAAAAGTAGACACATAAAATATTAAGGAATGCAAGGGTCAGACGTAAACATGACAGAGGTAAAGGTCTTCAAAAGAAATAGAATAAAAGATAGATTAAGCAGGAGGAGGAATGTTTAATCTCGGAGAAAAAATTGAAAAAAAGTAGATTGAGGTTGATTAGGTAAGAAAGGGGAATGTGATTCATGACGGAAATGGTAAATGAACTATTCATTTTAGTTAAACAGAATATTTGAGTTCTGCTTGGCTTTATTTCAGCAGCTGCCTCTATCTTTCACACCAGATTCTTTCAGTGTTACTGCATACTTTTAAGTATGCAGTAACACTTCTGACCTAGCCTTGTGAGGCGAACAACACATGGAACATTTTGAAATAACATTAAGTAAATATCACCTTAGAAATATAAGCATGTGTGACAGTTACGTGAGCAAACAAAAATATGCTTGCAGCAAATCACTATATCTGAACCTCCTCTGCAGGAATTCGGATCTTTGGCATCAAAAACAGCGTAGGTTGATCCACCTAAGTCTGTTTTCAACAGCAGTGATTAAAAAGGTGGAGGGAATGAAAGTAATGGGATTAAAGACAGGCAGCTCTTTGTAAACGTGTGCCAAACCGGTAGAGAAGATGCACAGAAGCACAATATCTCCCAACTTAAACAGTCCGTCATACAAGTTCATCCAGGAATTACTGGACAGGGACACTCTCACACCCATTAGGTAACAGGTAGATGCACATAATCACTCACATCAAAAAACATGCCAAAACAAGCTACAAAGCCAAAGGGGAAACTAATGAACCCACATACAAAAACGCACACACACACACACACACAATGGCAGTGATTGACAGCTCGCATTAAAGTAAGGACAGGCTTGGGCATGGCAGAAAGAAGGTGAGGGGAGGCAATTAGAGGCATTTTTTAGATGATAATAGCTGTGTACAAGTCATGCAGTCTGCAAAAGCTATTCGTAGCTGGCAAGCAGATGAGCATAGCAATGAAAATGGCTGGTCCATTTGCCCATGATGTGGCCCCTAGGGCATGGACGGGCAGAGCAGAGGGAGAGACAGATAAACTAGTGGCATAAATCTCTTACTCTGGCATGTTGGGATGTCACAGTATCTCCAGTAGATCCCGTCTTCATGATCTGCAATGTAGCACCACGGCTGAACGTCCCCATCGGGATTCCTGCAGGCATTGAGGGGTAAAGGTTAGAAGGTGTCCACACTAAGCTGGTTAAATCTGATAATAATGTATCTTTTTCTTTTTTTGTAGTTTCCTGTTAAAATTGACCTTTTCAAAAACACCTGCCTTGGGGAAGACTTTCTATCGTCTCTTACTCACTCTGTGAGCACTCATATATAATATGTATAACAATAAAACCAAACACACATTGCAGGTGTTAACCCCTTCATGTGCATTTTTCATGCAACCTTAGCCACTGACAGAAAATGACTGGTTCCAGCTTCTCATATGTGATGATGTGATGCTGAAATAAACTAATCTGAATGTGGTTGTTTGACTGGTCAGACAAAACAAGATGTGTGAAGACATCGCCATGGGCTGAGGGAAATCATAACAGACATTTTAGGCTATTGTCTGACAGAGACAAATCACAAAAGTGATTAATAGATTAATTGAAAAAAATAATCAACTGATTAAATGACAAGGGAAATAATCGTTAGCTGCAGTCCTATTTGTTAACAGGTAGCGTTTATAAGCCGCAACCAAATTACTCTTTTTTTCTCATTCTGCTGTCTGACAACAGACACAGTTGGCAACAGGCCATATTTGAACTTTTCCAAGACCATGACAGCAGGAGGGGACAGAACTGAGGTTTGAGAGACCTTTACAAAAATGAAAACACTTGAAATGGATGCATGACATTTTCACAAATAAACTGCATTTTCAGATTTGTCTGTTTTGTTTTGGAGTTGTGTTGGGGGCATGCTAAGGGATGAAAAGAGAGAGAAGGTAGAGAAAGATGAAATGGCAGGGATATGAGGGCAAATCAACAACACAAAGGCAGGCTATCGTCTGAAAACTCTGCTGCAGAGGGCTCAATCACGTTTCAGAGGGCGACTGTCTTGGCTGTGTCAATTATCCCTTGTAGCACCCCTTGGCGCTTGTTGGTTTAGCTCCTTCCTCTGAGCTCTGGAGGATTGACCATGCATGTCAGTCAAGGGCCAGACCAACGGGTCTTAAAAGGTGGAGGAGGTTGGAGGTCAGGGGAAGGCTCTTTGTTCTGGGCCAGACACAGACCTGAATGATGGGGCTTTTGTCTGAGGCTGCGGCCTCTTTTGAACCTCATCAAGGCACTTTCAACCCATCATAATAAGGCTGACAGGCCCCATGGCGCTTTGGGTTTTCGGTTTTACCTACAAAAGCCAAAGAATTGGGATAGAAGATAGAAATACCTAAAAGCTTTGTGGAGGCTCCATATCCCCAGGGGGATCGTGCAACTTTGTAAATCACGACCCTCATGTCAACTTCTAAATTGCTGATAAATGAAATCAAGCAGCTAGCATGCAGTTTAGCTATTTAAACTCTATTTTAGGATTACTGTGAACTGTAAAAAATACACACCCTGTCAACTAAAAAAACCTTCTAAGATGACAATGCTATTTTTTTTTTCATACCTGACTGTAATTGCTGCTGGAGACCTTTTCTCTTCTCTTTTGACACACTTCATTGTAGCTTCTTGAAAAAGCCCTGGGGCACTGCAATATCCCGTTTCGCCTTTTGTGAGCAAAGTTGTGAAGGGCGTTTCCATTTCTTTTCTTCTCCCATCAAAAACACTATCCCGAGTTTCCTCCTCTCTTTTCACACTCAGAATGAGGTATTGACAAAGATGTCGTTGTAAAGACTTTTTGGGTTGAACTCAAGTTTAAGTGCCTCAAAGCTTTTCACTCTCAATATCTGGTAAACAGTTATCGCTCTATTTCTTGCAGCCTGTCGGCAACAGCAATGTGTGAAGAAAGAGGCCTGCCATTATGCTATCAAAAGAACCCAGAACTTCTCTCAACCTGAAATGTTCCCATGTTCACAGGAAACCAGTCTTGTTTTCCAGTAAATTTCGACACCATATCATGGGCCCAGATCTGATTGTTGCTCCACCCAGATTGGAGGCAGACACCTGTTTGTTTAGCCTAAGGCTACTGCTGAAATAAAAAACTGGGTCCAACCATCAAAACATTGGATTATGTACCCTTCCCTTATTTCTCTCTCCCCTTCTCTTTTTCATGCCTGTCAACGCGTAATAGCCCTATTTGAAATAAGACTCCCAAGAGTTCATCTTTAGCCACTTATGTAATTTACTGCACTTTCTTAATCACCCCCTCAGGAGGCAGACATGAATTATAACCATCAGCATTAAAAAAAAACACATCCTCAGGAGACCTCCCATCCCGTGTCTGACCCACTGGTATTTTTGATCTGAAAATGATGCGGTGTGTCCATCCATGTTCTCTCTCCCAAACGCCTGGTCCCCAAATAGTGCTTCATCCCAGTCTTTCACACATAGACACACACCCATAAACACAGTTTTAGCAGAAGCACGGGAACATCATCCACAGGGCTAAGGTGAATAGGCCAGCCCACATGACAGAGAAACATAATCAATCCTGCCCCAAGGTATCAGTGAACTTGTGTGTCCGTAGGTGTGTGTGTGTGTTAGGCGAGGGAGGGATGGAACAGAAGTTGTAAAGCAGACAGTCTCAGATTAGCCGAGGTGCCACAGTGCAGATAAGACCTCAATGGACTGAAATCCATTTGTTTAACCCGGCAGCATTCGTTTAACCCGGTCCTCGTGGAGACACTCTGATAAAAGTTGCTGCCAGGGTGTGTATAAGGGCATTTTTAAGGGGGGGTTGCATTCACATCCATGTGCGTCAGACATGTCCCGCTTGGCTCTGAGTAGGAGAGCTTGTTGAAACACTCCCATACCCAGAGGTAGATCACAGAAGATGTTTGGACACTTAATTGGCACAATTACCCTGATTGAATCATTTTGCTCAGAGTGAGCCACACACTTCGGTACAGAGCCAATTATAGCCACATTGCGTTTTCCCTCACAGGCTCTCCGTCCTGCATTTGAAGGCAAGAGGGGCTTACATCTGAACACAGAGAAAAAAAACAGGTGTTCTTGGCTGGCCGCTGTTCAAAAGGTTTCCTTTAATAACCATTTTCCACGTACCTTAATCAGAAAATTTATGATCATCTTTAAAATGCCTGGCACTGTGAAACTACATATAAAAATCACAAAATCACTTACATCAAACTACGCGTGCAAATGCTAAAAATAGCATGCATTTTTCCAGAGTTAAACTTTAACTGTAAGATTCTAGAGGAACTTTTGTGTAGTTAAACTAGTAGATGCGTAAAAAAAGAATCAAAGCTACACTTCCCTCATTTTACATGAATGGGAGAGAGGAGAAATGCTGATTGGAAAGAGGTGGTGAGAGGCTTGTCTGAATTGAGATTTGAGGTCAGCAGCAGATCAGAGTCTGGCAATTTACTGCCTGAGAGAAGACTCTTTAATTGACTTGGATGATTTAGCATGCAAACTGCTGCCTGCTGCTGTGCGTCATGAATGCATGTATTGAAGAAGAAGGCTTGTTGGTTGTGGGCCGATATGTATAGTCTACTGTCTATTGTTGTGCTCTCACGGTCCACTTGTGCTAAACACGATATTGTGATGTTACTGTGTCATACGTGGCTGGTAAACACACCACTATGTTCCTTGACTAATGTCTTTAAAGGATGCACCTATAAATTACAAAGATAATAATGGTTTCTTATCAATTGAAAGCAAAAGCCACTCTGTCTTTTCAGAAAAACCTACAAACAACATTGTCAACAGTTTTTTTTAACAATTTCTTCAGCAGAAGGTAAATCCAATGAAAACTGTTGACACTGAGGCCAGAGGACCCCTAATGCTAACCCAATGTTTCCATAGAAAATATTATGTGACTCACAGCCGGAGCACTTTTACGGCTCAAATCGACATGAAGCGCTCCTGGTTAAACCAACTGCGTCAGAAAATGTCTGTCTTTGAGAGTCAAAGGTACAAGCCAGTGTAAAAAAAACCTAAAGGTTGAAGTTAACAACAAATCCCAAGTTTCATTTGGGCAAGAAACATCCAATCATCCAATTAAAATTTGAGGTGACAAAAGATTAGCAGTTGAGAAGACTGACAATAGCCCTAATTCACAACTCTGACTGGCAACAGCAGCTGAAGAAATTATTAAAATAATTAAATCTATATAATCGTTAAATCATCGGGGGGTGGTGATGGTACAGTGGATAGGACACATGCCTTTGGTGTGAGAGACCCGAGTTCGAATCCACTGTGAGACACCAATGTGTCCCTGAGCAAGACACTTAAGCCCTAGTTGCTCCAGAGGCGTGCGACCTCTGACATATATAGCAATTGTAAGTCGCTTTGGATAAAAGCGTCAGCTAAATGAATAAATGTAAATTATCTGGGAGACTCTCATGACTCTATGTTAAGGGACGCAGAGCATACCGTTTAAAAACAGAATGGGGAAAAACACATCCAGAACCAGCATCCCTCTCCCCTTGCAGCCATATGGGTTGGAGGCAAAAATCTCAGAAAGTGATATTTCAAAACCTGGAAAAATAGGGCTCATGATGGAGCAGTGGATAAGACACATGGCTTTGGTGTGACAGACCCAGGTTCAATCCCCAACTGTGACACATTCACTAATGTGTCCCTGAGCAAGACACTTAACCCCTAGTTGCTCCAGAGGCGTGCGACCTCTGACATGTATAGCAATCGTAAGTCGCTTTGGATAAAAGCGTCCGCTAAATGAATAAATGTCAATAAAACCACTACTATCTGCAATTCCAAAAACCAAATTTGAAAACATTATTGTTTGTAATTTGGCTGAACTGACCCTTCAAAGACAAACATACACACATTTAAGGGGCACATTTTCTTGCATGAAATTGACTCCTTTAATGTTGATGGCTGATGCTTTAACGCCACACATTACATCTTCTGGTGGGACACTTCTATTAAGTTCTTCAATTTAACAAAGCCGCGCACTGGGATCATAATATTGTCATACAAACAGTGGACAACTTGGCTGCAGTTTGCCTGACCTCAGACTTGTTCCTGACATCACTGAGATTCAATTACAATCAACTTGGGGAACACCATTCACTCTGGCATTTCCATTATCTCATCTATGTAAGGGAAAGTCATTAGAAGCCATAGTGGACACTCATAAATTGTACACACACACACCTGCATATAAATAGCGAGGAAATGGCTGGCAAAGCTATTCAACCACCCACTGAACCATCATGCACACCCTCATACTAATGCACCAGGGAGAGAGTCCAATATCAGCCTGTAGGAAGAGAAGATTACAAGGAACAGTAAATGAAATATAAATCAGGACATCAATATGTGTGATGTTCTTCTGATGAATGTCATGAAGGATTCAGAAAAGGTCAAAGAAGTACTTCAGAAGTGACAAAAGTGTCTCGTTTAAGTGTAAAATTGCAGAATTACAGCAAAGCAGCTTTCAAGCTTTATACCAGACTTGAATGAATTCTGAATCGAACCACAGTAACGATCAGTAATGTGATATTTAAAAATGCGTCTCGCTAAGTATCAACTTAGACACGAGAGCTGTTGTCCTTATCTTGAGGCTTTGTGCTCCTTTTTTTGTAGGGGAACAATGTGACATTTCCCCTCTGCCCAGTTTCTTCCTGTTCTCACTGGGGTATTTTATAGCAGGCTATAACGATAAAATGTGGGGGCTGTTAGGGCTCTTTCTTCAGCACCACTGTGGTACCCTCTCGACTAAATCACCACCAGGAAAACGCCAGATATGGGATGAGAAGTGAGTTTGTAATCGCACTACTTCTCTGCTTCTCAACATCTGATACAGGCATAGAGCTGTGCGTTAAAGTTAAGCAATGCAGTGATTCCGGGCTTGCATTATCCACCTGTGCCTTGGACTCAGCTCTCATCTCATAAAACCACAATTGGCCTTGGGGTCAGAAATGCCAAAAATGCCCTGGCTGTCTTATGTTACCCCTCCTTCTCGCTTTCATTCTGCTACCTCCCCCTTTTGTCTAACAATTACCATCTATTGTGGAGTTCTAGCCAGAAATGTCCGCAAACATTTAAGCCTCAGACGAAAGACAGAGTGAGTTTGAAGTTTAGAGGGGGTTAAAGAAATACAGGGAACAAAATTTGAATTGCAAGCTGCTTTCATGTAAATAAGGAGATTTGCAATCCAAATTGAGCAACAATATCCACAACATCTCAAGAGCCAACTTTCCGTGATCAACCAAATCAAACATTACACATCTTTTTTGCAGTGGGATAACTCTCTCCTCTGCATGCACACAGCAACACACACACACACACACACACACACACGTGGGTGGATGCATGCACAAATACTTGACCCTGTGCAGACATGCCATAAATACCATCCCTCATCTTTTCACAATGAAGTGGCCACTTTGGTGCCCATTGAACTGCTGATGGCTGACTCTTTACAAGGAGGGTGTCTGAGAGAGACTTAGAGTATAGCTGTAGCTACAGCCCTAAGTGAATTTAATCTAACCCTCTGTCAGGAACAAACAAAGGCATGACAGTGAGCTGGAAAAGCTCCTGACTGCATCGGTGGCCAAGAAAATAACCAAATACAAGCAATGAAGATGTCCATTTTGAATCGCTTGTTGGACATAATACACTCCTAATGTGCAAGGAAAGTCTTCCTCAATCCTTTGCATATATCCTACTCATAAATTTTCCGAATTCCCATCCAGTTCAAGTAAAAACAAATCTGCCCAGTGCCACTTCAAAGCATTGCTGTGTTATGAGTTTACAACCATGACTTAGAAAAATGTTTCAGAGGCTTTGGGTCGAGGAGGAGGGGCGGTTCTGTTTCTCATGGCTTGGCGATCTGGGCCAAGCCACTGTGCTGGACATCTCTGTGAATCTGAACTAACTTCCTGCAAATACGCAAGTTTGACAGCCGTGAATACAATGCTGACAGTGGCACTTGGAGTGTGACTGATAGATTGAAAGGGTTTTCTAGACACCCAAAAGCCACCGTGTCCCTTCACATTCCAGGAAGAAGGGATGGAGATTAGCTTACATAAACTCTTCAAGCATGTTTGCATATTTGTGATGACAGGGCTAAACGTTCGGTTTGGGCACCACCAATAAAATATTTAGGGGCGAATGTGTGAGCAGGTACCCTGTGCTCAAACCCCAGCTAACAACCTAGTTCTAAATTATTGGGGGAGTCAAACACTTTGTCTAAGAAGTTCAAAGCTCTGTCAAACATCAGTATCAGCCGGTGTTAGAAAGGGGCATTATGTAGTTTTCAGCGGCCACTAGCGGTGCGGTTCTAAGATTGCAACCAGGCGTGTGCTCATACGCGTGCTTGCTTGAACTCATGAGCGAGCATAATCCGAAACACGACCACTTGCAGAAATGCAGAAATACCACAATAAACGCAGAAACACCAGCATGCAGGCTGTGGCTTTTTTCCAGACATTTTCAGGCTCTGTTACTTCAACGTTCCCGTCTCAGAGGCAGATCAACACCGGTGCCGTAACGTTACCTTTCATTCAGCTCAGCCAGCTGCATATTGGCTCAATGTTGTTGCTGTTAGTTACAGCGACGGAGAGGTGGAGAAGATGTGTACCTGAGTATTGGTAAAACCACAATAAACATAAACTGAATGTTACGAAGCAGACAGCGGCACCGGTCGGAGCTAATGTTACTGTAGCATTAGCTGGCTGCTCCTGGCTGCATCACTATAGGCTGACGTTAGTAAACAAATCGCTCCACATTGGCTTTTTTACCGTTACATCCTTTCTTGCAGGCTAAATCAAGAGTGGTACACGGGATAGTAACATGAGTCGCGTTAGTTGGTGAAGTAATGTGGAAAGCGATATAACTTTGAACCGGATAACATTAGCAACTGCTCTGCGTTAGCCGACGAGCTCACGTGACTTTCTCCAGCTTTACTAATGCTCACTTTGTTTTTACTCGACATCATCTGAATATGTTTGGTCTGATATAAACCTTTATTTTTGTATCCTTACATGGAGCCTGTGTTTTGCTGTGAGCCGGTTGTTTTATGGTGTTAGTGGACTGCATGTTGTTAGCTGCCGTGTTGTTGCTGTAGTACGAGAGAGGCTCGGGAGCGCGCACAGGCCTGAATCCGTCCCGGAGACCTCACATTAAAAGCAGAATAGTGGCTGATGCAAGTGAGTTTTGAGGCCATTAACTATAAGGCAATGATATTTGATTAATTTTATTGAAAAACTTACATATAGTCCCTTTAAAGCTGCTACTCAAAGCATTTTCACATCAATAACAAATTATATGTATCATAAACAAACAAAGATTGGCAGCCTTCCACTGTGAGCCACTGCTTAGGCTTTTGTAGGAAATCTGATGGATTTCCAGCACAAAAGGAGTTTGTTTTACAATAAAATAGGAGGGAGGAGTCGTTATTAGTACAGTGCAGAAACAGTCTTACCTTAATGTCCTCAAAATGATGATAAGTGAAGAGCTCACAGAATAAACTTTAACCCTTAGCTTTATCTGTAGCCCCACTAAAAACCTGGGGCGGCTGCAGGATTAAAACATTAATTAAAAATACAAGAGATGTTTAAAATGCTGTATGTAACTATTTGAGATGAGATACAGCATGTTGGTTCGTGAGCTTTAGAGGTGCTGGTAGGTGTCTTTTGTTACCTTTGGACAAAGATTGATTAGACCCTGTTTCCAGTCTTTGTGCTATGCCAATCTAAGCTAGCCGGCTGCTTAAGCCGAAAAAAGAGTGGCACCTATCTTCCCATCTAACTCTGCAAGAATGCAAATCTCAAGAATGCTAAATTGTTAAACTATACTAAAACTAACTAAAATATATTAATGACATAGATGCTGATTTCCGTGGGCTATCAGTAACCTTCCAGATCAAGAAAAGAAACTCACCTGCAGTAGTTGTGTCTGCCCAAACCACCCTCTCCATTGGGGTATTTGAGGGTGTTGTAAGGGTGCTGGAAGGTCTCATTCCAGAAGAGGCAGGGTTTACCACCATGCAGGCCGGTCTGGTTCTGGAAACCCCTGTAGTCCTCTCCATTGGCAGTGTAACACTCTGAAAAGAGAGAAATTAGATAAAGAAAGTGAGAGAATTTATTGGTGTCTGCATGAAGGGATAAAACATCTGTTAAGATGGAAATCAAAACCTTGGCAAGATCTTTTAAACGGGCATGTAAAAGGCAGCCACATATGCGACCTGCTTTATTGAGAGTCTGGATTCAGTGAAATACTCTTGTGCTATTAAAATGTTTTAATGTGTTTGGAATGATCATAGACAATACACTTGGAATCATTGTATTCGTTGTGCAGGCTCAATTCATTTCAGCTCTGGCCAAACGTGTTAAAGCAAGATCAATCACAGCATTGTTTCAATTAATGTCAACGCAGAAGCAAAGAAAAAAAACACCCCACAGATATACAACAAAAGCAAACATGGCTTGAATTTCCAGGAAGTGTATGACGACCATATGGCCAAGTCAAAGAGAGGGAGTGAGAAAGAGAGAGAGCTGGGTTCCCAAGGCAAAATAATGGCTAGAGGAAGGCTTTCCTTCCCTGAAAGAGGGAATTCAAATAAACAATGGCTGATGGGAGCGTGATGAGCCATCACCGCTCATCGCTCTGAGCCTGGGGGGGGGGGCTCCGAGAGTTTTAACATCTACAAGTGAAGTCCTCTTTTGATTGCATTACGATGGAAAATATGAATTTATTATGTGACTGTAATGATTAATCATAAAGCAGGTGCTCAAAATTGCCAGAGCAGGATACCCTTCAGTGTAACAAACTTTTCACTGTCTACGTGACATTTACTTGCAAAGAGTAACCACAAACAGGACCACAAGGATATACTGATATAGCTGATATACAGTATATGCAATTTTCCATTCTTAACACTTTGTAGTGTTTAGATATCAAGCAGGAGCGCGTGGAAGGATTACAACAATTTCACAGCATGTCTGTCAATCAAACACTAATAAGAAAAAAACAATACTTTCTTGTTTGGCTCGTCTCCATGGGGTCTTGTTGCTATGTACGCGGTTAGCCAGTGACCGGCCCCTTTAATCAAGCCAAGCTGTCTGGGCTGAGTATGAGCTAATGCATTGCAATATGACAGTCATTATACACCCCTTAGGGAGACAGCTGTGCTCCAAGGGTCTCTCCCATTCTCTTTTGAATCCAAGGTTTCCCAACTTCCTCACCCTCACTTGTATCTTATGGCCTATTCTCCTCTCTCACCATCCTCTAATCTTTTCTCCCCTGCTGCTTTTGCCTTTTCTGTCTTCCCCTTTCAACTCATATACAGACTTATTTGGGGATCGCCTAGCCTCATAGCCCTGCAATGCAACTTCTTCTCCAGTTCCAAGTCTAGGAGCATCAACAAGACATAAAAAAGTAACTGTTTTATTTGTGGGAGATCAATAAACTTAAATGTAGGATTGTAGTGCCTAAACATTTTTAAAGTTTCATCTGTTTAATAATTAGCTTGCGATATTTTCTACCACACTTCGCAATATTTACAGCAGTTAGCTTGCACGCAAACACACATTCCAGCATCTTGCATCCACCACAAAAGTACTACGAACACTTCATTTTAGAGTAAATCAGAGGCTCTGGCTGTTCTCAGTGTGTCAGTCAAAGTTGCTTTTAATTAAAGCTGTTTCGATTGTGTTGTTCAGTCAAGCCTATCAGCCATCCATCGTCTGGCTGACAGGAGTTCAACAGCAGCAAGGAGCTGCAGGGTGTCGGGCTCCAGCGATTATGATGCCACTCTATTGTCTATAAATGGTTCCCCTTTCTCTTAGCAAATTAATACGGCCTTGACATGCAAGGATATCAACCACCGGATTGTAAATTCACTCGAGAGAAGTCACTCCATAAAATTAGACTAACAGCTTAATGGTGTTATAACAGGGGTCATGCTCTTGCTACCCTTACCTGAGGGAACGATGAGGGGGTGGAGGAAACAAGTTAATGTAGGTTGACACCCAGCAGACAGGCAAGGCATGTTAAAAACTACACATTTGGAAGGTCTCAATTGTTACGTGTGCAAAGGATGCAAATAATAATAATAGTAAGCCATTTAGCTGACGCTTTTTTCCAAAGCGACTTACAATTGCTTTATATGCCAGAGGGCGCACACCTCTGGAGCCACTAGGGGTTAAGTGTCTTGCTCAGGGTCACATTGGTGGATGTGTCGTATCCACTACGCAATCGCCAACCCTCCATGATGGAGCAGCGTTTAACCTGCAGAAGACCAACATTAGTGTCAGCTGCCCTGGTAGAGTTTGAGAATGATGGTATTTTGATATGCATTGTATAATATGATATATACTTTGGGAAGACGGAATTCAAGTAATGAAATGTCATTGCATTTACATTTTTCTGGCTGCCGGCGTCCACGGCAACAGAAGAGAAACACTGCTATTGAGAGTTTGCCAGCGGCACAAGCACAATCATGAGTCACTGCTCCCCAAAAGCAATCACGATGGTTACTGCCCCAGTCAGAGAGGATAACATCAGGGAGGGACAGGGCAACGGACTGCATCCCAAATGAGCTCACGTCCTTCAAATATCTTCTCTACGAAAAGAGCGGTTATTAAAATGAATGAACTTGGCTGCATGCAGCGCTGCACTGTATCAAAGAGAAAGAGCCAAATGACTTTGTGAACGTCTCCTCTCCTCCTTCAGGAAACTTTACTCTGGAGTTTCAGGATGAAGGAGAGCTTGTCTGCACATGGTCCGCTTGGAACAAGCTGCTGCTGGCAGTCATTCAGCCCCGCTGTGGCCAAGTAAGCTTTCCAGGATGAGATGGTAAATATGGCAGTATTTTAACGCCGGGAGGAAGATGTGGGGTGAGGGGGAGGAGGGGGATGCCCATTCCATGTGGTTTCAAGGCACCATTTGCTTGTGGTGGGAATGGGAAGTAGCAGATCTGCAAGGACTCAGAGATAAGTGAGGCCATCGTAAAGATGAATGGTCCATTTAAGAGCACTGCGGATGGCCACACATCTATCAAGCTAAAAAGAAAGGACCAATTTTACGTTGGAGCGATGTGGATATGAGCATTTTATCCTTGTCCTGGAAGAAATGAAGAGCTCATCTGCTGATTGGACAGTCACCACATCAGGCCCACTCCCCTCCGAACACGCCCAACCCCCACCTCACACCCCTTTCCTTGTCACCAAGCAACTGTTGGCTCTCGTCACATGGGCCTGGGCTTTCTTGTGGTTTCATCATAGGCCGTGATGGGAAACAGAACCACCACCGCATGAAAGACGGAGAGAAGGGGGGGGGGGGCCTTCCATAAAATACATGCAGATCTACAAATAGAAAAGGTCCGGGAAAGGGAAGAGGAAGACTCGCCCTTGACCAAGCCCTACGCTCACAAAATACTGCACCACCCCGACAACGAGGGGAAAAAAAGAAAAACAGCAGAGCATCGGTGACAGAGCTAATCACCCTGTTATTATATTTGTTGAGATTTGTGGCTAATGACTTCCACATTGCAACTTCAAATGCACTTGATGCTCCAAGAAAAGAAGGGGGAGAGGGAAAGAAAGAAAGAACAGAGTAGGGTGCTTTGGTCATGTGATCTCAAGAACACAAACAAACAAGCTTACAAACAAATGGTTTCTCTGAAACACGTTGCCAGGTCACACAAGAGCACTTATTTGTTGTGTTTTCTATGAGGGATGAAAAGCAGCGATAATTACAGATGGCTGCTTCCTCACAGAGGGCTGACATAAAGAGCTTCCTTCCATCTTTATTATATGCTTCGAGCTCTGGGGACAGCAATACCAGCTTAGTGCATGAGCAATATTTCCACTATAATAAAATTACACAGAAACATGCATGTACAGTATTATGCACAAAACAAAAACATTTGCACAAGCACTAACATCACCAAAAACTGCAGGCTGCACACACGATTTGCCACAATATGTTTCCCCTCCATTGTGTCCTGGTAGCCATTACTGTTGTGGGGCTCATTAATGTCAGTGTAGTAAGAACAGAGGCCAGGGACAGGCCAAACCAGGCCAGATGTAGCGGGTAACAGATTTCTTTTCTGGGGGGACACAGCTGGCAGCATCAAGTCTGGTTCCCCTTTTCTCCAACATCATCCATTTCCACTTCAAAACCACATAAGACTTCAGAGGATCGCATGAAGACGGCTTCACATTTATTATCCTGGTTTCACAGATAGCCACAGATTCAGTGCGGCTCTTTTAATGAAGTCGGATGTTGCTGAGGAGAAGTCAGTGATTTCTTGAGGGGGGGTTAACGGACCAATCCTCGCCTCCCTGCTTCTCTGATCTCTCCTCTCCTGTAAGAGGTTTTTTAAAAGTGCCCTCATGCAAGAGGGTCAATTAAAGTGCAAAAAAACCCACCCTCCCATGTGATGAGAACAGATGCCTCGAACTAGTTAAATCTGCAGACAATGACATCTCAGTGGGATTTTTCAGTCCTTTTCATTTCATGCTTTTGTCATAGGTTGTAGCCCCTGATAACCAGGCCATAAACCAAGACCTCATTCAGTCCCAAAATAGCCTCCATCACCACCATTCTTCTTGCAACCAACCCTCCGCTGCACCACCTCCCGAGTTCACTACCACAGTAGCCACAGACCCACAGGACTCCCTGCCAAAGTCGCTGGGTAGCACCTATAAAACATAGCCCCATCTCTTTCTAGTGCGGTCCCTATTATTTAGCTCCGTAATGGAAAGAGTCTAATCTGCTGGAGCCAGTGGTGGGCTAAACACACTGCCAAAAAAACCTCAGTTTGAAGTTGCTTGTTGCAAAAAGCATAAAAATTTTTTCCCTCATGCTGCTCTCTGGCCCTTAATTTAGGTGTTACATCTTGAGGGATTTTGAAAAATCAATCAACAAACATACCAAAGCAGATAAAAACATCTACCTTTGTGGCTGGGATGAGATCTGACAAAATATACAGTCCAGATGGGCCATGGGTAGTTTTGGCTAGAGTGAGTGGACAAGCATGGAGCGAGGTGGGACGATTTAGAGTTTTGCTTGGCAGACGTTCAGGGAGGGACTGATGGG